CAGATAATGAAGACAGGGAGAGAAGGAACAATATAAGACTGCGCGGTGTAACTGAAACGGTAGGTCCCCAAGACCTCACTAAATTTGTCCAAGATATGTTCAAGGCACTAATTCCGGCATTGGAAGCCTCCGACCTGCGCCTAGATCGCACGCACCGATTACCGAAACCAAGACACCTGCCACCCTCAACACCAAGGGATGTAATCACAAGAGTGCACTATTTCACAGTGAAAGACCGCCTCATGCAGGCCTCCAGGAAAAACCCACCCCTGCCGAACCCTTTTGCTGACATCAAATTGTTCATCGATCTGTCTGCGGCGACCATGGTCAAAAGGAGAGCGTTTGCACCTATTACTGTGGCCCTACGGAACGCCGCAATACCATATAAATGGGGTTCCCCTACAAAACTGCTGCTGAAAAGAAACGGAGTGGACAAGACAATCTTCACACCAAGTGAAGGTGCGAAAATGCTCAGAGAATGGAACATTCCTGTGACACAACCTGGCAATGCACGGCCATCGTCAACTTCTCCACACAGGAAACAAACAAAGGACTTCCGATCCATCCCCTGGCACACTGCAGACCCAGCGGATACACAACCCAGGACAATGGCACAATAGACTGCGGCGCTACCAACCAACGTTGAATGAATATAGATATGTATATTATACGTGAGATTGTACACCCGAACCACCCCAGTGCTCCCTCGTAGCTGTCTTCACTAGCAATGTGATCCGCAGACGAGAGTCCACAACAGGCGGCTTAACCGATAATTGTCCAAGGTACTAGATATATACTGTTATCCTTTCTCCCTCCCTTTTTTTAATATACTCAACTGAAACGTTACGAAATCCTACCTGTAAGGTGTCACAACTAGGTGGGTTTCACGTACAGCTACAGGCTGGTCATTACCAGACGAACTAGCATAGATTAACCCAAGACAATACTTAACAGGTACCTAATTAGAAGCACCCACGATACCCCATAAGGCTTATCTACTAAGCCATTAAACTACCTGCCGGCAGATCTCTACCCTAGGCCACCCGGCTAACGGGTTTGTATATAGTTTATGTTATATAATTGTAATCTACCACCCAAACTTACCCCACCCCCGACCCTCATCAAACAACTGGAGTAAGACGGTAAAAAGCAGGGATAAGCGTCAAGACGCAATACTATCCACAACAGTCAGTTAAAGTATTATTAGCAAAATGCCAATTAAAGTACTCTCCCTTAATACGAAAGGGCTGAACACACCCCATAAAAGGCAACTAGCACTATTGGAAGCTAAAAAACAGAAGGCGCAGGTAGCCTTCTTCCAAGAAACCCATTTTAAAGGGGGCGCAAGGCCCAGGTTCAATTCCCCCTGGTTCCCCATAGACCACCATTCCTGCTGTTCCACAAAAAAGAGAGGAGTCTCTATCCTGGTTAGCAAGAATGTGGCCTTTGAATTGATTCGCAAAATCAGTGACAGACAGGGCAGATATCTCATGATACAATGCCACCTAAATAACAACCTTTTTAACTTGATGAATGTATATGGGCCCAATGCTGATCAGGAAGAGTTTATGAACCGGGTATTTGCCTTGTTAAATCTGTATAGCTTTGGGGAGGTAATACTTGGAGGCGACACCAACTTTCTCCTAGACAGTACCAAAGACTCATCTGCCTCGAACAAAGTAACATCCACCACCTCCAAGAAGAGGCTCACACAATCCCACAACATCTGTGACATCTTAGCGACACATAATTATGTGGACCCTTGGAGAATAACACACCCTAATGACACAGATTACACCTGCCACACGGCAGTACACAACAGCTACTCAAGAATTGACAGGTTCTTGATTAGGTCTACTACCCTCATGAAAGTACTAGAGGCAGACATCGGAGACATTACGTGGTCCGACCACGCTCCCATCACACTAACACTCAAAGATGGACTTCCCACTAATGGCCAAACGTCTTGGAGGTTAAATGAAACCTTGCTAACAAACCCACACATAGTCCAACAGGTCACAACAGATCTGCAGAATTACTTTGCAGACAATGACAAGCAGGATACTGACCCAAATTATATCTGGCTAGCCCACAAAGCAGTTATTAGAGGCAGTTTTATAAAACACGCCAGGCATGTCAGAAGAACGCACTTAGCACAATACCTAGCCCTCATAAACGAGATCAAAACTATTACACACAGGAACAAACACTCGCCCACACTAGAAACACAACAAAACCTTTTAACCTTACAAACACAACTATGAGACATGGAATTAGCCAAAACCACCTACCTCTTGCAAAAATCTAAGCACCAATCTTTTACAGCAGGTAATAGAGCCGGTGTTAAGCTAGCAGCGCAACTAAAACAAAAGGCGATCGCCTCGAGGATTGCCTACCTCAAAAATGAGAAAGGTAAAAAAATCATTGACCCTGGGGAAATTGTTAACGCATTTGCAGGGTATTACCACAAATTGTACAACCTGCATGAAGACAAAGACACGACTGTCCCGCGTACAGCAGACATAGATAAATTCCTAGCAGACATAAACCTACCATCCCTGACTTGTACCGCAATACAGTCCTTACAACAACCCATATCCCTCAAAGAAATCACATCTGTGATCGCAAAACTACCCACTAATAAATCCCCTGGACCGGACGGTCTCACAAACAACTACTATAAATTATTTGCAGCTACACTTTCCCTGCACCTATTAAAACTGTACAGACAGAGCAGTGAAAGAGGAGCCTTACCGGCAGAAATACTCCTGGCCCATATTTCCACCCTCCCTAAGCCCGGGAAACCACCGACCCACTGCAAGAATTTCAGAGCTATATCACTACTAAATGGCGACGCTAAAATATACGCCAAAATGCTCAGCAATAGAATAGCCCCATTCCTCAAACAATTAGTGCACAACGACCAGTCAGGGTTTGTCAGAGGCCGTCAAGGCTCGGATTATACCCGACGGGTCCTCAACGTGCTGGCACACATGGAGAGGAACAACACTGAAGGCCTCCTGTTGGCGCTGGATGCGGAGAAGGCCTTCGATTGCCTTAACTGGTCATACATGACAAGGGTCTTAGAGAAATATAGATTCCCACCTGAAATGATCAGAGGAATAGATGCACTATATGGCATGCCGGCGGCCAAAGTCTCGACAAGAGGATTCACCTCCGATAAATTCCATATCATTAACGGAACACGCCAAGGTTGTCCCTTGTCCCCCCTCCTATAGATTCTGTCACTAGAGCCATTGGCGCTTAAAATTCGCACAAACTCTGACATCAAGGGGAAACAAATGAATGCCCAGGAACACAAGCTAGCGCTGTTTGCTGATGATGTTTTGATATCAATAGCAGACCCAGAGAGTTCTCTACCGCACATTATGCATACCCTTAAGGAATTCGGCCTAGTTTCCCACTATAAACTCAACCAGGATAAGACCCAGGCACTGACAGTTAACCTGCCACTAGAACGGAAAACGACACTAACACACAATTACCAATTTGACTGGAGAACATCCTCTCTTACATATTTAGGAGTCAAAATTGCAACATCGATTGCCAGAGTCATTGAATTAAACTACCTACCCCTACCACACATGTGCAGGGCAGAAACCCTAAAATGGAAGCACACACACCTGTCCTGGCTAGGAAGGATCAATGCCTTCCAAATGTCCATATTACCCAAAATTCTGTATGTTTTCCGCATGTTTCCCCTTAGAGTGACACAACCCCTCCTCAAACAACTATAGAGTACGTGTAACGCCTTTATATGGGACAATAAATGGCCCAGACTCCCCAGTAGACTCCTATACACCCAGGTCAAACAAGGCGGGGTAGGATTACCGAACATCCACCAGTACTATAAGGCATCAGCACTAACAGCTGGAATACTACTACACTCCCCTAAAGGGGACTTAAACTGGGGACTTAAACTGGGTAGATATGGAAAACTGCCAGGACTGAACATAGTTGACACTCTGTGGACACCCAAACAGGACCCCTAAACAGAACTTATTTCCCTCTACAAGTCTCAAGCTCAACATATGGGACACATTCATGGTCACACTGGGGTGCAAAACCTCTTTCCATACCCGGGCACCCCTGACAGCACTAGGTGGCACAACTCCAGCATGACAATGATCAATAATGTAGAAACGCAGCAATTTCAATCCACATGGTCACAATGGAAAGAATTATATACTAAGACCACACAGGCATGAGCGACCCCCAAAGAAGTCTAGGCAATGCGCAAGAGGCAATATATATAGGTCCAACCCCACGACTGGACTGCCCCCCACACCCCAACCAAACCAAACAAACGAGCGCAAAGCACCAGACCATCAGTAATTATAGTGAAAGCGAAGCAAAATCTCACATAACTAAAGTTTTACATGAAATGGATGTGACGTTAATGTATCTATGGTCTACCTCCGAGTACTATGTCATCACTCTCTATATGCTATTATACCAGGGCCGGACTGGCCCACCGGGATACCGGGAAATTTCCCGGTGGGCCGCGGCACCTGGGGGCCGGCCGCGTTCCTGGGCCGGCCCTTTAAATACTGCAGCCGCCCGAGCGCTCTGTTAAGAGCCTCAGGTGGCTGCAGCTTCTCCCCCCCCTCCCCTGTAGCGTGGCCGAGCTGCACTCCGGTCCGC